TCGAAGGTCGGTCTCACGACAAGGCGACGGTGGACTCATGTTGTCCTGCAGTTGTCTGATTTTGCTGAGGCGGATTATACATCCCATCCCTTGGCTAAAGTGAAAACTCTCCGATCTACATGATATATATGCATATTGAGCTCTACATAAGTTAACAACTAAAAATCGAAATATGTAGATATAGATAGGTGGGTATATAATGATGCTAATTTAATACTTATAGGCTTGGGGATGTATGTGCACGTATGAGTGCTTGTGTCGGTATGTGTATAAGTCGGAGTACGAAATAAAAGTCACCACTTTGAGTAGTTAAAATAGAGCATAACATTAATCCCGGGTCAATAAGATTTAAGGACCCAAGGAAAAGCATGACTGGGATAACATAATATGGAACGTACGTCTGAGTGGGACGATAAACTGCGAGTTTGTGTTTGTACAAGTGAGGGCACGAAACCACCAATTATAACTCATCGGTCCAGGGTCATCAGGGTTCATCCGGAGACTCATCAAAGTCTAGTTACACCTCGTAAATACAAAGTATACAGGTACATGGGCAGAAACAGATTAGAAACAATAGCGAGTTAGAATGCTCACGATTATCATACGACGTAAGCAAGTTGAATTTTCACACAGCCTGGCCTATATGTATGCGCCTTTTTATGTGCATATTTGGCCGGAAAGCTACAACAATAAAATGTCACCTATTCAATGCAGGTTTGATATTTACTTGAAGTTAGGGCAAGTATGTCTAACTCGACGAAATAGCATTAGTATTGAGCTCAAGTGAAAAAGATCTATACCAACCAGTACATGCTACACTTTCAAATGGGTGTGCTTCCAAAAGGAAAGTTTTGCTGATAACAAATATACTCAAGTGATAACAAGAAAGTGATCAAGTCATCCTAAGTGACTTGACATAAGCATTGAGAAGGCGGTTTATCTCAGAATGATCAAAATAGGCTTCAAGATTTCATAAAGTTCCCGTATCTCGCTTCCTAAAAAATTTGATCATCCAGTCTGGAGTTCACTCTTTGACTCGCCTTATCAGCTCATCACCACCCCGAAGAGTATTTGAAGTCATGCATCTCCACCCGGCTACACAACCACGGGCATCACAGGGAAAACTTAACATTCGAAGCAAGCCAGGTCTCTCCCAAATCACATTTATCGTGAGGCGGCCTATTCATATTAATGAAAACATATTACATTAGCAGTAGTACATTGGCATAAGCAATTTAATGTAACTAAAGTTTTTGGTTAAGATCTAGCGATAGTTTTACACTGTAAAAAAGTGATGTCGTCCATTGTAATGACAAATATATGTATTTCTCATCGACAGTCTCGCAATAAATGTGATTTGTGGGAGGCCTAGCACACTTTAAAAGTCACATATATCCTGTGACCTTCCGACGCAATTGATCGTGTAGTGGAGTGGTAGCGTGTAGTCTCAGTGTACACGACACGGTTTCGAATCCAATTTTGAGTGCTGAAAAGGGATGCGTGCCAAGTGAAAATCAATGTCATCGTGAGGACTAATCATATGATCTTGGCCAAATTCTCTTATAACTCTAGGCGAATTAGGGGTGATTAAGTTCTAAGTAAGGAATCATACATACATGCATACATACATACATACACACAGAGAAAAAAGTGACAAAAACAGGTCTTCAAATGGACACTGGCCCCTACTTTCTCTTGATGCAGTTTATGGGCAAAAGTAAAAAGCCGAGAGTCTCAGACTCAACCAAATATTGCTTGGATGTTTTTTTAACATACAAGACCATCAGTGGAGGGTAGAAAGAAGTCTTAAGTCTAAAATCAATGAGACTAGTTTAATCACACAGAATGGCTGATCGCAGCCCTTGTGCCAGATATGACGCGATATGTGAAGTAGATTAATCAAGGGTCCTGTACCTGCTTGTGAAGCCAAGACGTGCACACTTGAGATAGGAGGTAGTGATGGGCTTAATAGTCATAATCATCTCTAGATGCAAGCAAGGAAAAAGGATGGCATTTGGCAGTGATGCTTTAATCGAGCCCCTTGTCTTAGAGCACACTGGCCAATATGAAAAGGCCAGAATGAGAGGAAGCAACAAACATAGCGATCTGGAGAGAGAAAAAAGTTTCCAGATAAACCTCAGACGCATTAGTGCCGACGCTCGAGAAAAGAGCAGGAACGGGAAGCATACACCAGAAGCTTGTGAATACCGGCTAAAAGCGAAAGAATTACAAGTGTGACTTACCACCTCTGCAATAATGTGACCGCATTCAGAGCACTTTTCGGCCGTCCGTTGGAAACCACAGTACTAAAAAATAGGCGAAATTTAAATGTAGATAAGTGCTGGTTGACACTGAGGCTTCTTATAATTGAGGATGAGATGATTACTCGGAGGCTTAAGCAAAAGTTACTTGTTTTTGGTGTGAATGTGTGCAATGAAGAGATAAGATTAGTATCAAGACAGGACCCTGAAACACTATGAACTGTTATCTGCGATACACTTTTTATAAGAAGAGTGAATGGTTTTTGATACAGCATCATTGAGTTTACTTTCAATTCATGTAAAACTGTGTGATAGAAGGATTTTTATATCGAGTTTATCAGAAGACGATAACAAGCCTTCTACGGTTTGCTGTTTGATTCTTTTGTGGCATTCATGCTGAAGCAACCCAAAAGACATCCCCTTAGGATACGGTTAAAGCACACTTAACGTTCTCCCTTCAGGTAACTTAACAGCTACTATTGGAGCTTGAACACATCATTATAGCGACTGATGGATTAAGAGTCAAGAAAAATAATAGGCTCATCTCAATGTACTAAATATATTCACACACAAAATATTATAGATAGTTCGTTCTAATTTCTATTCAAATGCATGTTTTACGACTTGTTTTAAGACTGAAGTCTTTATGGGAATGTTATTCTGCTCTGATAATATCTGCCAAGTGGTAAGGCGGGCGAAGGCTAAGCATAGCATAGGAAAAGGAACTAGGTTTCAAAAAACCCCTTAATAAATTCATGTTTTCATACATTCCATTTCGTTTGGAAGGGCAGGTGGAATGTGTACGTAAATTGGTCTTAGAATTTTTAGTTTATATAAGACAATCCTTCTTTGCTTTTAAGTGAGAACAAACCCTTTCATCCACCTTTTGAAACGAAATAAATTGTATGAAAACATGGAAACTCAATTTATTTACGCCAGAATCAAACCGTTTTTAATCGTATTCTCGGGACTATCAGCATGAGGGTCCTAATAAAATCGAAAAACAGACCAAGGAAAGTATTTAATCGTTTTCTGGTGGAATCGACCTATAAATCATTTAACTAGACTACGAATCACTGGCCAACACTGCGAATTACACTTTCAAATAAAATGAAAATAAAATCAACAAAATATATCAAAAACTGGTTACTCCTTGCATAACACAGTAGTGCACCCAAATTTTATGATAAAGAAAATAATTTTTGTCTAAAAATAATAAAATCAGCCCAGCAATATATATTTTAAGTAAAATATCGCTTGTTGGTTATTTGACATTGTTTTCGCAATTTGATCATATTGGCAGGAAGGCCTAGAGGAACGCACCTTGTCCGGAGTCCATAGTATGAATAACATCCAAGGTCGGACCGTGGACTTGGTACATTTCCAGACGTTTCGCTGGTATCGTAGTCGGCATCGACAATGAGCCTTGCCAGCCTTAGCATCACACTATAACTCGACAAAGATACAAGTGAAGTCGATTCTTCAATCAATTGTCTGCTAAACGGTTTTGGTGTTTCTCCTTCTGTTCTGAGCTATTCACCTATGTTATATCCTCGTACCACCCCTTCACTATCACAATTTCTTAAATGCTTATTTAAATGTGGTATGATGTGCTCTTTTAAGCGGATTTCATGAGACCTCTTCACACTCCACGCTGGCTTTCTAATCCCCCCTCTCCCCACTCTTGTGCTGGGAATCTTGATCCGAGTCTGCCATATTATTCCGCAATCTCCATTCCATAGGTCCTATCAGAATCGCCCTCTTGCCTCGTAGGATACATCTCCTATCTCTCTGGTTAAGGTATTTCAGTCTACTCCAGCCACTCTATCTGTGCTACTTGAGGCGTTATTTCCAACACTCTGCCTCAAGCCTTTGATGGAGCGTATATTCCCACCTTGCTAAGTAGGTCGACAAAGTCTGGATTCTCAAGCTGGATGGGAGACTAACTTGAGGCTATAGATCCCGAGTAATTATCATCGTCAAGCCTTTGCTTCATCGACCACGTCTATGATCAAACACGTCTGCCGTTAGTCGACTAGCTCCAGTCTCCGCAGTATCTATCGTACCTCTATACATAATGCAAAGTCTATGACTTCTATGCCCTAGTCTCTCGTGTGCCAACCCACAAATGATATGGTTCTACTTCTTTTGATTAGGCTCACTGTAGAAGTCTAATCTTGGTTACCGATTTTTCCTTTCT